GCCGGCGAACGGGCGGCGGGGTGGGCCGGGAGCAGGAGAAGGGCGGTGGATCGCAGTCCCCTTTGCCCCTTGTCTTCCCCCTCCGCCTGGCTGCTCCGACCCTCTTTCCCCCTCCGTTCGGCGCCCGGCGGGGGCTCCGCGCTCCCCGACCCCCCATCTCCCCGCCGTTAATTATAATAATCCTGAGTACTAATAAATTATGCTAAGTTGCGGGGGGGGGCAGCGGGAGCCGGGGTTGAGTATGAATATGAATATGTAAAATGCTGTAATGATTACCTGCTGCTGCTGCCGCCGCGGCTGAACTCTCATCTTGACTCGCTGCTCCTCCGTCCGCCATTTTGAATATTTTAACCAAAATCGCCGGGTCGATAAACCCTCCCTCGCTCCCGCTCCCCTCCCCCTCCCGCCCTCCTTGCCTCCTCCCTCTTCTCCGCCCCCTCCCGCACCTTCCTCTCTCCGGGCTCGCGCCAGGGGGCGCGAGAGGCCGGCTCTGCTCGCAGCCCGCCCCCTTGGAAGAGCCCCACCCACCTCGCGCGTTCTGCGCACGCGCCTCCGGAGCGCCGGCTCTCCGGTAGCTGAAGCGCCCTCAATGCGCCAGTAGCCCCTTTGCTTCATTTTATCGCCTTGGTTCTGCACATGCGTGATTTTCTCCACGCGCCTGAAATGCAATCAGCGCATGCGCTATCCCTCTCCGCTCCCTTGGCTTTTCGTGCCTGTAAAATGTAGTAGCTTGAGCGTCAATGTCTTCTTTTCCTCCCTGCTCCCGCCTCCTCTCCCCTCCCCTCCCCTCCCGGCTTTGCTCCGGCTTCCCACAGTTGCCAGCAGTATGCCAACAGAAAGGCAGTGGACACAGTGGCCAAGAGCGTGGAAGCGCACGAGGGTCCGTCGGCGGATCATCGTCGGGGTGCCCTCCGCTCCGCACTTTTTTAAGATTTTCCGCGCTGTTGAAGCACTTAACAACAAAGGAGCGGCCGCCCCCCTGCTAGGTAATCTCCGGCCTTGTGGGCAGGTAGGGGCGGAAACGCCCGCTGAGGGGAGCAGCCCTTGAGGCACCTGCTGAGCCAAGCGCTGGAGTCCCGCTTTAAATTTGAATCCAAATTAATCCCCGCCCCTCATCTCTGGAAATGCAGGAGACCGGGTCCCAGATAACAAGAGGAGGAGTGCCCTGTGGTTGTTTTTAATTAGCCCCAAATCTCTTCTGCTCTATTTGTTTCTAACACCCGGCCGGCTTTCTCTGGAGCTGGGCGTCTTATTAAGTCGCTAATTTCCGCCCCAACTCGTCTCTTCTGCTTTCACGCCCTTCGAACGCAGCTCACCGATGGAAACAAATAGCAGACCCCTTAGTCTACGGATAGGCTTTCTCCCTTTTCGATTTAGAAACGCCTTTTAAAACAGCAGCAAACTGGAAACTGATGACCTAATAAATAAAACTGTGGAAAATCAGCAGTAGCTGAACCGTGAATTTTACTTTGCCGTGTTTCTCAGAGTAAATACGATAGTGGGGAAAAGTTTTCAGTTGTATCTTTTTTTAAAAATTAGTCACTTTAAGAGTAGAAAGAAAAGTGTATTTCATGGTAAGCAAAAAAAAAGTTAAAAAATCACAGCCCTGTTTAGTCTGTCTTGAAGAGCGACGTGACTAAAGTTTAAATTGGGTAGAATTGCAGGTGCTACACATTGAAGAAAAACTAATCTCTGAGAATCAGCAGTTGCTTTAACAGCTAAAGTTTTCGTTGTGAGTCGTAGCATGCTCAATGAATTCCTTACATTGTGCGAATACAGTTAAAGCTATTGTCAGTGACAGCCAATGAGTTTGGGGTGGGACTGATTTATTCACGATAATTAAGCCTAAGGGTGTGCATGTCTGTTTGAACCAAACAATTGGACCACCCTATAATCTCATTATTTCAGCCACACCAACCAACACACAGTTAAAGAAATATAAAATCTAATAGTGTTACAATTAATCTGGAAATACGGCCTAAGTTATTTTCACCATCATTGCTGTAGGGGAAGTTTCAGAAATCATCAGCCTTATTTAAAATAAAAGTCGACGGATTTGAAGTAGCCTCCTCTAAGAAAAAGAACTCAAATGCCCTTATTTACATTCCTATCTTCTATTTAATCTTTGTTTTGCTCTTTGGCTCAAAAAGTAAATTAATATATGACTTTCAGAAAGTTGTTGTGTATGTGGTATCCATTCTTTACAACTTCATTTCCATAAAAGGAAAGTTTCATGGACTGAATATTTAAGGAAGCATAGCTCTGAGAGGAAAAAATAAAATAGTCTGTATTAACGGTAGTGTGTCAATGTTTCCTGCTAAAGTGCAGTATGAAAGTCTCCCTTGCAGCTAGGTGTGGCCATGTGACTCTGTTTTGGCTATTGAGTTGTAAGAAGTTGCTGGGTGGGATTTCAGGGAGATCTTTTAAAAGAAGCAAGTTCGTTTGTTCTTCCTTTTTCCTACCTGATGTCCTGAATGCAGATGTGAGGACTGAAATTCATGTGGTGTTCTTGGGCCATAAAGTGACATTGTTCTCAAGAGATCAGACCACGTTAGGAGGGAAAAGCAGATCTCTCCTCCAGAAAGGAGGCTTGGGACACAGCCATCTTTGGACTAAAGTTAACTCTTGGTGCTGCCACGTAATTTTATGAAAGACTGAAGATCCATACTCTGAGAAACGTATCTTAATTATTGTAATTGCCTTGGGTGACTAATTTTAAAATAATCCTTTTTTTGGTATCTTCTACCATTTTGCCTGTTCATAAAGGTTAACACTCCAGTATAGTAAATCAATTTGTTTAGTGACCTAGCAATATTTTTAGAAATTAATTTCTCTTCCAGCAGAGGCTTTCAAACCATGCTCCTTAGAGCCCTCATGTTGTGTTTTTTTTTTGTTTTTTTTTTTAACAGGGCCTGCCTTAAATTAGGGTGAAAACCAAGCCCTCTGCCTCTTCTTCTGCCAGAAGGCTCTGCTTCACCTATAATGGAGTTCAAGATAAGATTTTGTTTGAAAACAAGGTATTACTGCTTTAAAAATTAAAACAAAACAAACATGTATTTATATAAATTTGTATGTATTTATATAAATACAATTTTTTTTTCACCACCCGTCTGTCAGTTTGTCATACTCTGTTGACTTGTGTGTTGCTGTGATGCTGGAAGCTATGCCACTGGTATTTCAAATACCAGCAGGGTCACCCATGGTGGACAAGTTTCCGCAGAGCTTCCAGACTAAGACTATGAAGAAAGGCCTGGCAATCTACTTCCAAAAATTAACCAATGGAAATCCTATGGGTTACAACAGAACATTGTCCAACTCCCTTGCGTTGGACACATCATCAGGAGGGATTAATTGCTGGAGGAGGGCATCATGTTTGGTGAAGCAGAGGACCATCGAGAGTGAGGGAGATCCCCAATGAGATGGATTAGCACAATAGCCACAATGATGGACTCCAGTATGCTGGCTATTGTCAGGATGACACAGGACCAGGCAGCATTTCATTCCCACGGTCCTCCTTGAGCAGGTGCAGAGGCTGTCTATTAAATTAATCAATATATCCTGGTCATTTGTCTCAACTTTCATAAAAGGCTGTCAAACCTACTGACTGTAGCTGACTACTACAATTTACGTATCTAACCTACAAAGCAGAATATTGTACTTCTTAGACAGTGTACAATGAAATCTTTACAATTCAATACTTATCAAAAAGCTCAATAGCATTTACAAAAACTTTTTTTTATCTAAGTCAGTCTAAGAAGAAAGGCCTGGTGATCTAAGTCTGAAAATCAGCCAAAGAAAACCCTATGGATCACAGCCAGTCCCATTGTGCATGGGGTCACCATGAATCAGGGGCCTACTCAACAGGTAACAACAACATCTGATGGCTATATCAGCCCATTGACCCAGGGTCTGCAAATACGTGTCACTTTGCTATTGCCGCTATCCGTTCCAAGCCGTGGCTGACTTCTTTAATCCGTAGCTTTTTCTTATACTGAGCCTATATATACTCTTGCTCAAACATGATTCTTCCACACTGGTGCTTCAGGCAGCCATTAGCATCTCATCAGTGTTAGCATGCAGGATGAAATGCATTTGCTATTCTACCTCTAAATACTCTTAAACTATCAGAAAGCCATGCACTTGGAATACTGTACCTCATTTTGTCTCCTTGAAGATTCTTTCCTAGAATTGTGCTTTGAACTTATGTCATCAGCCTCCATTAAAATCATAAGAAAAAACCCTGATGAATGTATCATTTACTGTAGGAGGATTTTGGGAGTGTCTGTCTTCTTTCTGATGATTTTTTTCTTAACATCTCAAGGATGGTTAAGTAACTCAGCCATGATCACACAGTTAGTAAGAGGCGGAGATCAAAACTGAACCAAAGATAGCCTAATCCCATATCCCCTCTGCCTTTCCTCCCTGGGCACCCAGGTTTGCTGCCTGCCTTGTCTGCCATCTGCCTCCCCAGCAGGTCTTCCTACCTGCAGGTAGACATTGAGCCCTTCATTTAGTTTCCATGAGTTGAGATGCCTGTATTTTTCCTACATTCATTGATTCCATTTCTGCCCTTCCTGTTTTCTCCTACCTCTTCCAATCTTTCATAAGCTTTTTTTAGACAAACTCTTCCTGCATTTACTCATCAACCCATTACAGTCTGACATCTATCTGCTCCAATCACTTTACTGAAATTACTTTATGGAAAATCACTGATGACCTCCTAACTGCCAAATCTGATGACATCTTCACTCCTCATCCTGCCCCATCTCTCAGCAATTTGACAATGTTAATCATGCCTTCCTCCTTAAAACCATCTCTGCTTCTGGCTTCAATGATAAATTGCTTTCCAATTTCTCCTCTTATTTCTCTAACCACGTCTTGGTTTTCGTCACTGGATTTTCTTCTTCCCATCTAATATAGGTACTCTCCAAGGATCTGCCCTTATCCCTCTCCTCATGCTGCTGGCCTATTTAGTGTCATTATCTGTCCCCTCAGTTCCAACTGTTATCTCTCTGAAGATGACCCCAAAATCTACACCTTCGTCTGAAACATCCCCCCTAAATGTCTGGCTATGTTTGTTACATGTTTGTCTCTTTCACTAGAGTGTTAACTTTTCAAGGGCTAGGCTGTATCTGCTTCATTATTTTTGTTATCTTTTTATTGTTAGTGTTACAGCACAGGGCCTGGACATGGTCTATGCTTAACAATTTTTTTAAATCAAATTTTCTTGCATGTTGTTGTTACTAGGTGCCATTGAGTTGGTTCTGACTCATAGCGACCCTATGTACAACAGAACAGAACACTGCCTGGTCCTGCGCCATCCTCACAATTGTTGCT